CCATTTGACTAATTTTAGGAGTTTTCAAGACAATAACCTCCACTCGTTCCGCGCTGTTTTCCCCAACCTCGTGACGTTGGACTTGACCGACAACAACTTCAGTGACATCCCAGCCAGCCTCTTCATCCATGACAGGCTGAAAGAGTTAAAGATCAAAGGGAATCCTCTCGCTTCTCCCTGGTTTACTCAAGACCAAGCCTCGTTCCTGAGCGAACTGATCATGCTAGAGCTCGAGAACTCCGATTTCTTAAAGCCCATCGACAGCTGCAGCAGCGCCAACCAACTCAAAGTGCACTCGCTGACTGTCTGCATCTCCGACAGCTCGAACGACGACAACGACAGCAACAACCAAGCCTCCAGCTCGTCGTCGGACGTGTTGGTTCTTGTGGGCTCCATCGTCGGAGGCCTGTTAGTGCTCGTTGCTGTGGTGCTAGCTGGCATTTGGCTGTACAGGATGCGCGTACGAAGACACGACAATCGCTCCCGAGTAGTTCGTGAGTCGTACTTTGGTGGGCTATCGCCGCCTCTCGCGCGATCTCCAGTTGATAAAGGCTACCGTGGTGGTCGACGCACACCTGTGAGTGGAGGCCCACGCTTCTGTAGCGACTATGAGTACGAGGAGAGTAATTACTCGCCTCGTATCTCGACTCGTAGTACACAGAGTAACCAAAGCTCAACGGCGTATTCACTCTGGAACGACGAGGAGTTATTGTCGCTGCAGGTGAAGTATGACGAGATTGAGGACATTGGGACGATCGGCAGTGGAGCGTTCGGGATCGTGTGGCTAGTGAAGTACCGTGGCTCTCAATTGCTGGCGTCCAAGCGAGTGCGTTCCGACCTGGTGACGAAGCAGAGAACGCAAGCTTTTATTGAGGAGATCAAGATGGTGGCGCCTTTGGATCACCCGAACGTCGTGCGTCTTCTTGGATGCGCTTGGACGATCGAGAGCGACTTGCAGGCGCTGTTCGAGTACATGGAGGGCGGTGACTTACGTGACTACCTCGTGGATCCGACGTCTCCTCGCCATTGGAGTCAGGAGTTGCTGCAACTAGCTGCCGATATCATCGAGGCGTTGGTGTACGTGCACTCGTTCACACCGCCACTAGTGCATCGGGATCTCAAGTCACGGAACGTGTTGCTAA